CTAGAGCCTTTCCCAAGACTGTGGCTAGATGTCTGAGCTCAGTATGTGAGAGAGCAGCCTCAAGGCTTTTCAGCCTGTGGGGAACATCCAGAGTTGCACTCCTAGTCTAAGAAAAACAAAACCTGAGGTCTTCCCAGTCTCAATAGGGCCTGAACCCAACTCTAGTTTAGCAGAGAGAACCAGATTGAGGTCATTCCAGGCAGAGTCTAGTAGGCTATCAGTGGCCAAAGCTAAACTGCAGGAGAAAAGTCCTAGACAAAATCTAACTCAAAAAGTCCCTAAAGCTTGTTCTGGGATCTCAACATTGGAGTAGTCCCCAAGCTCAGCAACAGTGGGGATGAACCCCAGGCAGAATCTACAGCAAGGAAAGATCCCAAAGCTTCGTGGCAGTAGGAAGGTCCCAGGCAGAGCCTAGTACCAAAGTAGCTCTGTAGTCTCTTGAAGGAGGGGCTTAATCTGGCACATTATACTAAGGACTAGGCAACCTCCTCCCACACCATTCAGTTGTAGAGTTTAAGCCAAACACAGCCCCTTTCCCAATGAGCAAACCAAGTATAACTCTGATCATCATGAGGATACATCTTGATTTGAGAGTCACCCAGAAGATAAACCCTGAAGACAATAGTGCCCCCACAACAAATCCAAGTAAATTCTCAGAGGAAAAAATGAACTGAAAACAGGGATTATAGGATTGCCTAGAGGAAATAAAACAAGAGATGCAGAATAGGAAAGCCTAGAAATGGAAATGCATGTACAAGAGAAATATGGAAAGATATACATTGTGTTTAATTAAAAGGAAATAGGTGGATATGAGTCATTTACATAATAAAAAAGGACAAAAAGCAAATATCTTCTCAGAACTCTAATAACTTTAAAGGTCAAAGAGAAAGGTTAAAATTACAGAGGATCTGTAGGTGATTTTGTTTAATTTTATTAGTCCTAGGAGGAATAGGAGACTATAATATGGAAAAAAGGAAGAAGAAGAGGGAAATCACTGTCGTATAATAGAAGTGCACAATATGAAGAGTTTATAGCCATGGAAGCAGGAGTATGGGAAATGGATATCCCATTACTTCCATCTGAATCATTTAGAGTAGTAGTATCAAACTCAAATAGAAATGGACAACACTATTCTATAAATAACGATCCCTTTGGACCACATGTTGACTTAATTTTAAAATGTAATGCTACCTCTATCTTTTTGTATTTTTATTTGTTTTGTTAAATATTTCCCAATAACATTTTAATTTGGTTCAGGCTACATAGGCTAAATGTTTGACACCTCTGATATAGAAGAAAATTTGAATTCAATTTTATACACATACATCTCTATTTAGAAATACTTTAAACTCAAAAAAATTAAAAGATAGGGTCACAGAAGGTATAGAGAGGAATTTTAGAGGGAGGACAGGATAGATAAGAGAACAATCATAAGCAAAACAAACTTGAATATTGAAATAAGGGATGTGAAAGGATTCAAATGAAAAGAAGAAAGAGTCATCAATTTTCAATACTTGAGTGGAGCTTTCCACCATGTATTCTAAGTTGTCAGTTTTCCTTGCCGTTCTTTCCCCACTGGCTTCTCCAAGGGAGAGGTGAGGTTAGGAAAAAAGACACAATGAAGAAGAAATAGATTGTTTCACTTTTAAGATTGCAAGCATCAGGCAAACTCCCTCTCTTCTAACACCTTCTTATGTATAAAGAAGGAAGTATTAACAAAGAGAAGCAAAAGTTAAAAAGGCTGGGATGGAGGGGAATATACAATTAGTAATAATGAGTGTGATTGAAAATGGGATGAACTCACCCACAAAATAGAAAAAAATAGTAGAATGGATCAGAAAGTAGAACCTAGTAATATCTTGTTTACAAGAAACACACTTGAGGAGTAGCTAGGTGGCCCAGCGGATAGAGCACTGGTCCTGAAGTCAGGAGGACCTGAGTTCAAATCCAGCCTCAGACCAAACATTTGACACTTACTAGCTGTGTGACCCTGGGCAAGTCACTTAACCCCAATTGCCTTAAAAAAAAAAAAAGAAACACACTTGAAACACAAAAATTCACATAGTTAAAATGTGAGTCTGGAACAAAATCTATTATTCTTCAGATGAACTCAAAAAAAGCAGGAGTAGAAGTGCTTATAGATAAGGTAAAAAGAAATAAGCAGGAAAAATGCTTCAATGCACCATACATAATGAATCAATATCAATACTTAATACATGTACCTAATAACATAGCATATAAATACTTAAAGGAAAAGTCCATTAAAATAGAGGAAGAAATAGATAGTAAAATAGACAGTGGGGGATCCTAATATACCCCTTTCTTACCCAGGCAGAATATAACAAAAAAGACAAATAAGAAAGAAGTTAAGGACCTGAATAGAACCTTAGAAAAATTAGATGTAATTAATTCTTGATGATTGCTGAATCATAATAGAATGGAATTTTCATACCTTGCAGTATTATACAGCATCTTTACAAAAATTGACCATGTATTACAGCATGTAAAGTTCACCAAAATATATAAAAAATCAGAAATACTGAACATATAACTTGCTTATAATAATGCAGTAAAAATTATATTTAATAAAAGGTCCTTAAAGAATTAAGAAGTAAATGGAAACTAAATAACGTAATTCTAAAGAACTAGTGGATCAAAAAACAAATTATAGAAAATTAGACACTTGATATTTACTAGCCGTGTGACCCTGGGCAAGTCACTTAACCCCAGTTGCCTCACCGAAAAAGAAAAAAATTAGCTAACCCTAGACAGTCAACTAAAAATTAATTGAAATAATTAATAATTTCAGCAAAGTTGTAGGACATAAGAAAAATCCACATAAATCATCAGTATTTCTACATATAACCAATAAAACCCAGGAGGGAAAACTAGAAAGAGAAATTCCACTCAAAATAACTACAGAATCTACAAAATATTTGAGAGCGTATTTACCATGATTTACATAAGAACTAAATGACCTATAAAACTATAAAAAGAGTTTGCATAAGTATAAAGCACTTTGAATAAATAAAGACAAAACTAAATACTTGGGAAAACATTAACTGTTCATAGGTAGGCTGAGCCAATATAATAAAGATGGCAATACTAACTAAATGAGTTAACCTACTGAGTCCTATACCAATTAAATTTCCAAAAAAAATATTTTATAGAGATAGAAAAAAATTGCTTGCTGTCTCTGTGAGTTGAAAAGATAACATTGCGCTTTCATTGTTGCAAGGAGTGAGAGGTAGGTAGACATGTCCTGGAACCAACTTGTGCCAATTGTTAAATTTTCAGTAAAAGTATTTACACATTAGAAATTGGTAATCACTATAGATAAAAGCTTGATTTATTGTTGTGTTGATTTTCTAGACTTAACAAAGTGTTAATGATGCAGATTAAACTTAAAAGTATGTGTTCAAGGCAGTTTTCAGACAAAGAAATCAAAGCTATCTATAGTCATAAGAAAAAATTCTCTAAATCACTATTGATCAGAGAAATGCATATTAAAACAACTCTAAGGTATTGCCTCACACCTATCAGAGTGACTGATATGATAAAAAAGGAAAATGTTGGATGTTGGAGGAGATGGCAGAAAACTGGGACACTAATGCAGTGTTGGTGGAGTTGTGAAGTGATTCAAACATTCTAGAGAGCGATTTGGAACTATGCCCAAAGGCTATAAAACTGTACATTCCCTTTGATCCAGCAATACCACTTCTAAGTCTATATCTCAAAGACATCCCAAAAAAGGGGAGGAAAGGACTTATTTGTGCAAAAAAATATTTATAGCAGCAATTTTTGTGGTGGCTAAGAATCGGAAATCAAAGGGATGCCCATCAATTGGGGAATGGCTAAACAAGTTGTGGTATATGATTGTAATGCAATATTATTGTGCTGTAAGAAATGACAAACAGGATGATTTCAGAAAAACCTGGAAGGACTTGCATGAACTGATGCATAGTGAAGTGAACAGAACCAGGAAAATAATTGTACACAGTAACAGCAATATTGTACAATTAAGAATTGTGAATGACTTAGCTATTCTTAGCAATACAATGATCCAAGACAATCTCAAAGATTAATGATGAAGCGCACGATCCACCTCCAGAAAAGGAACTGATATTGATTGAATACAGACTGAAACATGCTATTTTTCACTTTCTTTCATTTTTTTTCTTTTATTCAAGTCTTCTTGTACAAAATGACTAATATGGAAATGTTGTACATAATTGCACATGTATAACCTATATCTGCTTACCATGTCACAGAGAGGGGGAGGGAAGGAAGGGGTAAAATTTGGAATTCAAAACTTTAAATATAAATGTTTAAAAAAATTAAGTATGTTCTTTTTTTTTCAGAGAGCCCAGTTTGTTAAACATTTACCAGTACACCCCTGTATTGCTCAATAAATTTTGCTTAAGATCAATAGAAGTGCAGGAGATGGCTCAGACACTGAAGTCATCATCAGATTGGAGACCTGGTGACAGTAGGCCAGCAACAACAACAACTAATAATGAAAATAATGATAATAATAATAGGCATTTATTTAGTGCTTTAAAGTTTGCAAAGTACTTTCTAAATCTCATTTGAGCTTCACAACACCCTTGAAGGTAGGGCACATAGGAAGAAGATACATTAACAGTTTCCCTATTCCCCATCTCCAGGGTTTCCTTGTGCTTTACTACAACTGCCCTTCTAGCTCAGTTTGTCTCATCACATTAATAGCATAGTACTATGATACAGGACCCAAATATTTGCCAATCCTTCCTCCAATTTCCTTCCTTTCCCTTACCTCAAATTGTCACCACTTATTTTGGGACCCCACATCAGCTAAGGGAAGCATCTTTCATTGCCCTTGACTCCAACATTGATCCTTCAAGTCTCTCTAAATCAAAAACAGAAATTTCCTTCAAGTCAGAACTTCTGACAGCATGGTGATAAGAAGGGCTGACTCATCTCCCCAAATCCAACATTGAACTTGCCTTCTTGCTCCTCAGACAGCATCGAATGACGATGATATCCCTAAAACTTCACTCAGTTGTATTGGTAGCTGCACTAAATCTCAGATACACCATTTGGATAGTTCTGAGAAAGAAAAAGGAGAAGGAAAAGAACAAACAGAGGTAAGGAAGCTGTCCTGGGTAATTCAAAAGTATTCATTGATTCATTCATTCATTTAGCCAATATTTAAGGGTTTACAATGTGCAGTCTACTCTGCTGAATGCGAGGGGAGATTCAAAGCTTAAATAAGATACTGCCAGTTCTCTTATAGAGCATACAGTCTAGGAATAAGCTAAGGCACATACACAGATAACTATAAAGCATAATGTTATATGAGAAATGAATTATAGGGGTGTTAAACCAAGGACTGTGTGACATCTGGCGTCTTGCAATAATTTTTTTCTTTGACCTGAAAGCTCTGAATTCTGGCTATGATATTTCTGAGAGTTTTTATTTTGGGGTTTCTTTCCAACAGAAAAGTTGATTCTTTCAACTTTCATTTTGCCCTCTGGTTCTAAGAGATCTGAGTTTTCTTTTATGAATTTCTTGAAACAGGATATCCAGGCTCTTTAGTCATGGCTTTCAGGTGGTCCAGTGATTCTTAAATTATCTCTCCTTGACCTGTTTTCCAGGTTGGCTTTTTTTTGTATAAAATATATTACATTTTCTTCTTTTTTCCATCTTTTGACTTTAATATTTTTTGTTGTCTCATGAAGTCATTAAGCTTGGTCCATTCTAATTTTCAAGAAATCTGTTGCTTGAGTAAGGTTTTGTACCTATTGTGCTAACTCCCTTTCCACCTGTTTCCTTCATAGTTTTGATTTCTTTGCCAGTTTTTTTTTCCTTTAGCACTCATTTCATTTATAAGAATCATTCTCTAACTCTTGATTTGTTTCTCCCAGGAATTCTAGTTGAACTTGTGCTCAAATTGAGTTTTTGTTTTAGGATTTTCTTAAAACTGTTTTGAAGTCTTCTTCTTCTGGGTTTTTTGGCTTAGGCATCTGTTATCATAATAACTCTTTATGATGGGACTCTTATTCATTTGTTTGTTGGTTTACTCATTCTTCCATCCTGACTTTCCAAATTGGGATTAAGACCAGGATCATTGTATTTCTGAAGGGAATTTCTGAGCCTTACTTGGTCCTGTTTTATATTCTTTTGAATCTTGTTGCTACTTTCTCTGGTTATTGAGTACTGTGCTCTTCAAGGATCTCAGGAACAGTTCAGGCCTGGGACTTGCAAGGTTTTAGCGTTCCCAAAGTAGTATGATCCAGGGTGAAATCTGATTATTGCCACTCTGATCTGAGCTTTGCAAGTTCCTGACCTGGTTTTGGGTCTGAGCAACACAACTGTATACTTTCCCCTGGTTAGAATTCCAATAGACTACTGCTGGACTCAGTCACCATCAGCTAGCTAAAAAGTGCTAAATGTTCAGAGCAACAGAACTGTAGGATCCCCATTTGAGCTTCCCACCCTATTATTCCCTTGTAGGCTTCAGACTAGGCTGGGAGCTGAATCTGAGACCTCACCCAACTCCTAGGGTCAGAGACATGCAATCATTTCTCACTTCTGGTCTTGCTCTTTGCCCAGTAGGCAGACTCAGTCCCACAATTGCTTCTTTCCCTGGTGTGCTACAATTAGAAGCAAGTCCTCTCCTCAGTTCCCACTGGATCTTTAATCCTGTTCTGGGATATAATCTACAGAGCCACCAGTTGGCCTCTGTTCCTGAATTGTAAACAATATAAGGCCCTAAACAGCATCAAGCCCTTTTGTGCTGAGTCTTAAGATTTCTTCTTGCCCCGTTTCACAGTTCCAGGCCCTTAATCAGGGATCCATGTGAGCCCTCCTAGCTAGACCCCATCTCTCTGTTTGCAGACCTCTTTATCTCCTTATGCTGACCTAGGCTGGAGACATGACTCACTGTGACTTTTCCTCATATTTTCTGATAAGGATTTGCTCTGATATTTTCTAGGTCTTTGTAGAATAGTTGTATGAGAGGGTTAGATTTGCACTGTTTCCTTCTACTCAGCCATCTGGCTAGTCTCCCTATGTGAGATCCAAACTGGAGCCAAGGACTAAACATCATAGAACTTGGGTCTCAAGGAAACAAGTTTGACTGGCTTCCACCATCCTGACCTTGGACTTTAGAGAAGAGAGTTAGGAAGGAGAAGGAAAAATATTTGTTTGTTGGGTATTTTATAGTGTAGATTCCTTATGTGTATGAGTTGGACTAGAGGGCCACGGAGGTCCTTTCAAACCCTCAAATTCTATCATTCTGTGCTTCTATTCCACTGAAGGTCTGATACCATCCCAGGCTTTGTCTGAGGCATTATCATGGCCTTGCTGGAAGCAGAAATAACCTGATTCTTGGGCATTCCAGAAGTTGGAACATAAGACCTTTCTAGGGAATAATCAATAATTAATCAGGCAGTAAGCATTCATTAAGTACCCACTACGTGCCAGGCACCATGCTAAGTGCTAGGAATACTCTTTCAACTTCCCAATGGAGACCTCCTAAATTTCCAATTAGCTAATGAATAGGGTGGGGTCTGTCACCTGAGATGGTTCAACCTTTTCTTACCCCAAAATAAATTATTTTATTTATCTATCCACCCGTTTGTCTTTCTTCTTATTAGTACCCAGGAATTTCCTTCTCGGGAGTTCCAGGAAAAGACTGTAGTAGAAATAGTGCTGGATTTGGGAACAGAAAATCTGGGAATTTGTGTGAATTCAGACAAGTTATTCAATCTCTCCTGCCTGAGTTTTCTCATCCATAAAATACAGATAATACTAATTCTACTCTCTGCCTCACAGAATTACTGTGAAGTATCTCAGTATTAAATGAAATATACAAAAGTTCTTTGTGATCATGAAAGCTTTTGCATCATTGGATTTGTGTCCACATAATGGTAGACACTCCTTCCCTACAGTTCAGATCATTACTGATCTATGCTTTCTCATTTTAGGCAACTTTTGTCCATGCCCTCCCATCAATCATCCATATAGGACCCACTCCAAAAATCAAAGGCCTGTCTCTAGCTATTTCTCTATCTACTATACCGCATTGCATATATACATATATAACATATGTGTATATACATACATACACATATATGTATAATATGTGTATATATGGAGAGAGATATGACAATATATATCAAATCAATCAATCAACAGGCATTTATTGTGTGACTACTAGACTAGGTGCTAGGGATGCAAAGTGAAAAAGGAAGCAGGCCTTGTCCTCAGGAAGCTTACATTCTATCAGGGTAGACAATATATATACTTATAAGTAGATATAACATAAGTATAAGTATATACATGCACATCACCATTTGAGGAAGAAAGGGTTGATGATAAAGTTGTAATCAGGATGTGCTGAAGGGAATGGGATAGAAGAATAAAATAATGCAGTAATATACTCTCACCCCCTGTCCCTGAGAGATACTGCCTCAGTGCCTAGTTTCCTAACATCTTCCCTCTTGCTTTCCCTTGGACAGCCTGATCCCTACAAAGAGTCCCCAGGTACCCTGGACCTTCAAAGGACCATCCTCCTCCAGCTGCTTAACCAGACAACAGTAAGAGACTCCCTAAGCCACCTCAGCTCAAGCTGTGGTTTACAAGCCAGGCCTAGGCAGAAATACCCTAAACTCTATGACCTGAGGTGGAGAGTGGCCCAGTGATTACTGCTAAGGTTTCTGGGACAATCACAGGAAGTCAGCTAGCCTACAGTAGAAGGGCTCGTTTCACCTCCAAACTTACTAACTTTGAGACCTTAAGGAAACCACTTAACCTGTCTGTCCCATTGGTTTGTCACCTATAAATTGAAGGGGTTAGACTCAATGGACTTTCTGAAGAGTCCCCATTCTGTTTTTTCACAGTCCCTCATCATAGTTAGACACTGTCACTATGTTTCCATTCTCTTTAAAGTGCACACCTAGGGGGCAGAGCCAAGATGGCAGAGTTAAAGGAGTGACTTGCTTGAGCTCTCGCCCAAACTCCTCCAAATACCTATAAAAAATGGCTCTAAACAAATTCTAAAGCAGTAGAACCCACAAAAAGACAGAGTGAAACAAATTTCCAGCCCAAGACAGCCTGGACGGTTGATCAGAAAGGTATATCGTGCCAGGCTGGGAGAGGAGTGCAGTTTGGCGTGGGCGCGCAGGCCACAGCGACCCTGGAGCAGGCCTCAGAAGACTGAATCTCGGGCAGCTGTAGTGGTTTCCAGACTTCTCAACCCAGAAATGCCAAAGACAACTTGGAAGGTCAGTGGGAAAAGTCTGTGTCAGTGTGGTGAGAGAGAAGCCAGTGGTCTCAACTCCAGTACCTGAGCTCAGCAGGGGCAGCAGCTGCCTCCTGAGCTTCCGACCCACAGACTGAGAGGGAATCCAGAGGCTGATCAGAGGGGGATTGCAGGGATCTCTCTGCTGGTGCAGGATTCTCTTGTTTTGCCCATGCTTGGATCTGGGTCACAGTTCTGGGTGGCGGTCCTGGGGCAAGGAGGAGCGCTGGTGTGGTAGAGCTTGTAGTGGCTGTGGAGAGTAAACCCTCCTCACAGCTCCAAGAGAGAGAAGAGTGCTCCTAGACCAGAACACAGGCCAGGAAAGGAGTAAACACCTTGCCCTTGATCATACCACCTTGGAAGAACTGAAATTTACAGGTCCCTAGAAGTATCTCTGAACACAGCCACACAAAACCCCTGAAGCTTGGGACAGTACATTCTCCACACTGGAAACAGACTCCTACCTTAACAAAGAGTTTATAACTCAAGTAATTGGCAGGGATCATGAGCAAACAGTGCAAAAAAAGTCAGACTATATTATCTTACTTTGATGACAAAGAAGATCAAAACATACAACCAGAAAAAGACAAGGAAGCCAAAGTTCCTACATCCAAAGCCTCCAAGAAAAACATGAATTGGTCCCAGGCCATGGAAGAGCTCAAAAAGGATTTTGAGAAGCATATAAGAGAATCAGAGAAGAAACTGAAAGTGATGCTAAAGGAGACCTAAAAAAATACTGAAGAAAATAATACCTTAAAAAATAACCTAACCCAAATGGCAAAAGAGGTCCAAAAAGCCAATGAGGAGAAGAATGCCCTTAAAAGCAAAATTAGCCAAATGGAAAAGGAAGTCCAAAAGCTTACTGAAGAAAATACTTCCTTAAAAATTAGAATGGAGAAGTTGGAAGATAGGGACAATTTGAGAAATCAAGGCACTGTAACACTAATCAAAAGGAATGAAAAAATAGAAGAGAATGTGAAATATCTCATTGGAAAAACAACTGACCTGGAAAATAGAGCCAGGAGAGAGAACTTAAAAATAATTGGGCTATCTGAAAGTCATGATCAAAAAAAGAGCCTAGACATTATCTTTCAAGAAATTATCAAGGAAAACTGCCCTGATATTTTAGAACCAGAGGGCAAAATAGAAATTGAAAGAATCCACCAACCACCTCCTGAAAGAGATCCCCAAAGGAAAACCCCTAGGAATGTTGTAGCCAAATTCAAAAATTCCCAGGTCAAGGAGAAGATACTGCAAGCAGTCAGAAGGAAACAATTCAAGTATTGTGGAAACACAATCAGGATAACACAAGATTTAGCAGCTTCTACATTAAGGGTCCGGAGGGCATGGAGTATGATATTCCAGAGGGCAAAGGAGTTAGGACTGCAACCTAGAATCACCTACCCAGCAATACTGAGTATAATCCTTCAGGGTAGAAAATGGTCATTCAATGAAATAGGGGACTTTCAAGCATTCCTGTGGAAAGGACCAGAGCTCAATACAAAATTTGACCTTCAAATATAAGACTCAAGTGAAACATGGAAGAGGTAAACAGGAAAGAGAAATCATAAGAGACTTATTAAGATTGAACTGTTTACATTCCCGCAGGGAAAGATGATATTTGTAACTCATGAGTCGTTTGTCAGTATTAGGGTAGTGGGTGGGAAAAAATTATATGTTTGTATAGATAGATAGAGGGCACAGGGTGAGTTGAAGATGGAGTGATATCTGGAAAATAAAATTAAGGGGTGGGAGAAGATTATGCTGGGAGAAGGAGAAAAGGAGAAGTAGAATGAGGTAAAATATCTCACGTGAAACAGACAAGAAAAGGCTTTTACAGTGTAGGGGAAATGGGGGAAGGTGAGAGGGAATGAGTGAGTCTTATTCTCATAGGATTTGGCTTAAGGAAGGAATAACATACACAATGGGGTTCATCGAGAGGCATCATGACAGAGTGTCAAGGGCATTGGACTTGAAGTCAGAACACCTGGGTTCAAATCCCACTACCAACACTAGCTGTGTGACTCTGAACAAATCACTTAGCCCCTTGGTGTCTAAGGTTCCTCATCTGTAAAATGAAGGGGTTGGACCTGAAAGCTTCAGAGTTCCCTCTCCGTTCTAAATACCTGATTCTATGCAGGAGAATAAATGATGTCTGGGGGACTGAAAGAGGAAGGGGAAGGTAGAAGAGGGACACTCTGAAAGGGAGCCAGGAAGCCAGTGAAGAGAAAACCCAGATGCATCCAATATGTTAAGATACTCCCAGTTCAGCCCTGACCTACTAAGAGGAGGAGGGAAAGAAAAAAAAATTAGGAAAAAAGAAGAGGCAGAAGAGAAAGAAAGGATGCAAGAAGGCAGACCCACCTCCTCCCTCTCCCTCTTTATTATCAGCACAGCAAACTAAATTACAGTACTTGAGGGATTTCCTTATGTCTATGACCTTTAAGACAATACGTAGAGAATGGCGTGGGTCTACCGAGTGGGAGGACAGAACATGGAGCATGTTTGACAACAGTGGCAAAGCTGGTAACCTGCAGGATAGATGTGCCCCTGCCATGGACAGATGCCTCAGCCAAACCCTCTCTAGCTCTTAGCCCTCTTTCTATGTGCAGTCTATGAACAGGAGCTCACAAATGGATTTTATCCTTCGAAATCTAAATGGCAGCAGCATCAGAGATCTCTGTGAGGGCTGCTGTGAGGAGAGAGAGAAAGAGGAACTATACCTAAGCAGGCAACCAAGGAAGACACTGAAGGTAAGAATAACCTCAGAAAGAAATATTTAAGGGGATTGTTGGGAGGGTGGGGAAGGTGAGGCAAGAGAGGAGGGAACCAGAATGCTAGAGTCAGAGGAGTTGTAAAGGGCTTTTCCTGATTCCCAACCCCCTAGCCCCACTTCTAATGCTTTCCCTCCTTATCTTATATATTAAGTTTATTTTGTATGAATTTTGTATATCTTTCTTTCTGTACCTACACGTACATGTTATCTCCCCTGATAGAATATAAGCTCCTTGAGACCAGGGATTGTTTTAATTGTTTTGCCTTTGTTTCCCCAGTGACAAGCATCAGTAACTTGCATATAGTAGCTACTTGTTGATTAATCAACTAACTAATTATTTGTTTGGTGGAGGTCATACATTTTACAGGTCCCTCATTTTACAGATCCCTGGAGGGGTGAAGCACCTTGCCAAAAACACATAGATAGTAATTATGGGAGCCAGGATCCAAATCTAGGCCTGTCTTTTTCCCAGATTTGGTTTTAGAGATAATTCAGGAGACTCCAAAAGATCACTTTCCTACCCACTATCACTCCACATTAATGGACAAAGAAGGAAATGTTTTGCTAAAAACATATCCAGAGGACACAGAAGCATAACACCAGACTCTTAATAATAATAAAAATCAATATTATTAATTTTTATAACTAGCATTCATATATTGCCTATTATGTACCTGGCACTGTGCTAAGCACTTTACAATTATTATCTCATTTGATCCTCACAACAACTCTGAGAGGTAGCTGCTGTTATTATCACCATTTTACAGATAAGGAAACTGAGTCAAATAGAGGTTAAATGACTTACCCAGATCATAGCAAGTATCTGAGGTTGAATTTGAACTCAGGTCTTCCTGACTCCAGGCTCAGCACTCTATCCACTGTCCACCTAGCTGTCCTGAAGAGTCTGAAGAGAAAATGAGAGGGTAGAGGACTTTAGAGGTGGGGGTGGAGAGGAGGTGTACTTGGACTTCAGGTCCCAGGATATGTGACTGGATGAGAGTAATCAGCAGCTACATAGACATATCTAATCCCTTTAGGGATCAGAGGATGAGGAGAGAACTGGAGTCATCTATGAATAGCCTTAAGAGCTGACACCATCAAGGACACACTCCCTGTTCTTTCTTTTCCCACGAATTGGGGTTTCCTCCTTTGGCCTCTCCTATCCCTGCTGTCTTTTCCTTCAGCAGCCGTGTCTTTCCCTCATGGCATCAAAGTCTACCCCAGCCATCTCCTCCTTCCATCCAGGTTCTTATAATATCAATAATCACTAGCATTTGTATAGAGCTTTAAGGTTTGCCAACATTTAAACCTCAAAACAACTCTTCAACGTAAATGCTATTATCCCCATTTTACAGAGGAGAAACTGAGACCCAGACAAGTTAAGCAATTTGCCCAAATTTACACAGCTGGCAAATGTCTGAGACAGGATTCAAACTCAAGTCTTGCTGACTCCAAGCCCAGCATTCTATCTGCTATGCCACCTAGTTGTTCATGGGTCTCCTAACAATCCCCTCTACATTTTTGTCTTGACAAGTACAATAGCCCAAAGTATCACAGGGATGATTCTACACCTGGAATGTACTTGGTCCTCTCGTCTGTCTCTCAAACATTTATCTGCTCTCCAAAGTCAAACTCAATCCCAACTTCTACCAGGACTCACACTGCAGCTCACAATGGGCTCTCCTTCACTGAAGTCCTATAGCACCTGGTCAGAATCACACCATGTGGCCTTTAATCATCCTCTGCTTGGGGAGCAGGCACATGCTGCCTCCTCAGCTAAACTGGAAATCAAGATAGGACCTTCTACTTTTTTATATTCCCTTTGGGCTGAGAAGACAAAGTGTTCAGTAAGTATTGACTGATTGAATTACAGTCTCCCAGGAAGAGAAGACCTGGCCAGTGGACAATCCTTGGGAGTTTGCCTCTCCCAATTGGAAACAGTTCCATCAATATGGTAAGGAGAAACTGGGGATAAGGAAAGGAAAAATAAAGGGGAAAGATGAACTCTTAGGCAGAGCTCTAAGGAATACGAAGGGCCCCAATTCACTTTCCCTCTGGCAGCATCAGTGTTGCCCACCCAGGGCTGGGCAGCAAAGTATATGCTATGGAACTATGCCCAGAAAGTTACCAAAGTTATCAAACTTTGACTCACCATACCACTTCTAGGCCTATAACTCCAAGAAATCAAAGAAGGGGAGGAAAGGATCTATATACACAAATATATAGCAACTCGTTTTGTGGTAGCCCCAAACTGTAAACTAAGGGGTGGTTTTCCTAGTAGGGAATGGCTAAACAAATTATGTTCTATGAATGTAATGGATCAGAAGAACTCTCAAAGTTAAGTTTTTATTTATTACCTCAACTTTACAGATGAGGAAATTGAGGCAAAGAGAAGTTCAGTGACTTGCCCGGGGTCACATAAGTAGTAAGTGTCTGAGGCCAGATTTAAACTCAGGTCTGCCCAGTACTCTAGCCACAACACCACTTAGCTCTACTGAAGTGTCTGAAAAGGAAATGGGAGGGTAGGGTACCTATGGGGGAGGATAGTAAAATAGGGGAAAGAGGCAATGAACCTGGAGTTAGGCAACCTATAAACTAAAGGGCTTATTACTGCTTCCCAAGTCAACAGGAAGGGTAATGAGACCTTTGGAATAGGATATGCAGCAGAACCAATGGAAGAAGATGTAGGTCAAAATGGTTGGGACATAGACCTTGGAGAGGGAGATTGGGACTGGAAAAAGAGGATTCAGGCTTGAGGGGAAAGGATTTGAACAAGGAAAAGGGAGACAAGTCTAGGGGCAGAAAAGACTTAGGATCATATCCCTGCAGCTCTTCAGAGCTCAAGTCTGGGGCAATGTGGACCATTTGATTTGGGGATTTGCAAATCCATTTTGGTTGCTTGCTTAGTTTGTGCATTAGTTTCTCTGAGTCCTAAGTGGAACTGGAGGGGAAGTGTGAACATATCCTTATACATAAACAGAGTAGACAGCCACTGACATGTTATGATATAAGGGCCTCTGCAAACATCAGCCCCAACCCAAAAGTATATCTCCCTCAGAATCACAAATACAGAGTTGGGAGGGACTCTGGAGGTCACATAATTCAACCTCTTCATTTTACAAATGAAGAAACTGAGACCCAGAGAGGAGAAGAGTCAGGATTCAAATCAAGATCCTCTAACTCCAAATCTATATTCCATGAACCTCTCCTCATTCTCTTCTTGCAGAACATATTTGTTGTTGTTCAGTTGTGTCCAATTCTTTTTGACCCCTTTTGGGTTTTTCTTGGCAAAGATACTGGAGAAGTTCAATATTTCCTTTTCCAGCTCATTTCACAGATGAGGAAACAGGCATGCAAGGTTAAGTGACTTGCCCAAGGTCATACAGATAGTAAGTGTGTCTGAGGCCAGACTTGAATTCAGGAAGATGAGTCTTCCTGACTCCAGGCCCAGTACTCTATCTACTGCACCACTGCTCAGGTGGAGCACCAAAGTGGGGGTTTCTTTCTGCTTGGTTCTCTGCTTCTCCTCATCTCCTTCTCAACAAAATTATTGCCTGTGTCTCTCCAGGTGATGATGTTTCATAATGACACTCATATTGACTATCAAGCTAAGAAAGTCACACACCAGGTATGGGCATGCTTCTCTAAGTGCTAAGGTAGGAAGAATTGAGTTTTCTGAAGGAGCTTTGACAACCAGCCAGCATGCTGGGGGGTGGGGTGGGGGGGTGAAGGGCTGAAAGCCAGGTACTCTAATCTGCCTGAAATCCTTCCCTTGCCCTCTCCTCTTCCACTAGGCTGAGAACCTCAGAGAAGGGTGGTGCTCTGGCTGCTGTGAAGACAATGGAACCCTGGGGGCCCTTGAGAGAAGAGAGGGAGAAGAAGTCAAAGAAGTGCCTCCTATTAGCACTGATCATGGTGGTCAGGTCCTAGGGAACTCTGGTTCCACAGAGAAGAGATTGGCTCACCTTTCTGAAGTTTCCCATGAAGCTAGAGGGCAGTTTGATCTCGGACTTAGTAAATACCCTACAGAAACCTTTCCTGTCTTCCCCACAAGCTAAACCATGCTCTAGTCTACCTTGAATAAGGTAAGTCAACATATACTAAATGCTAAATCCTACTGTGTTCTCAGTCATGTTTTAGGCCCTCTGGGTAATACAAGAAAAGTCGAAGATGCAGTCCCTGCCTTCAAGAAGCTTACAGTCTAGATGGGGAGCTAAGTCACTACAACCAAGAAACAGAGAACATTACATACTATTTAACCAAGTGCCAAAGGAATCTCAACCCTGCCACTCTGTTACAGCCTAGAATGGCCATGACATTTGATGTGGGATTCCAAAAAGTGGGAGGTGTGGAATAGAAGTAGTGAGGAAAACAGCCTTAATTATAATAATGTTTGCACATTTAATAAGGAGAAATGAGACAGTGAGGTTTGGTGGATAAGGGCAGACCTCAGAGTCAAGGAGACTTGGGTTCAGTCTTATCTATGTGAGTATGGACAAGTCATTTGACCTCTTGGTGTCCCAAGGCAACTCTCCAAGACTCTTAAGTTACAGATAATTGCTGAATTGAAGCTCTCCCTCGAGAGAAAATTTCCACACTACAGATGAAATCCCAGCTCAGAACCAAAGAGAGACAGGTAAAATGGAGCCTTGATGCCAGGTTGAGGAATTGGACTTGACAACCAGGCAAAGGGGAGTTATTGCCTGGTGGATATCCTACTGAACTCTGTCTTCTCTTCTATTTCCAGACCTAGTGCAATGCCCAGCAGGAACAGAGCACCACGAGAAATACTTTACTTATGCTAAAGCAATAATTCTGGGAAATAAAAGGTCCTGTGTTCCATTCCCTCCAGGTGGCAGCAGGAACCAGTCACCATCTGTTGTTGTTTGTCCTTCTTTTTCAAAGAGGAATAATGGCATCACAAGATGCCATACTTGACTAGTATGGGAACTGGATTTAAGTGAGGCGAAGTAGCACAAAGTTGTCAGCCTCACTCTCTCTTCTTGACTCATTGAAATCCAGTGGCAAGAAAAAGTCGGGACAATTGGCCATGGCCCAGGATGCAGTGGATGACTTTGATGTCTGACTAAGTTCTAAGTGCTCCACAGCGCCTGTTTCAGCCACCTTCATGGTTATTGGAATAAATTGTTTTCATCTACCCATTCTGCCAGGGGAGTCTTCACATTTTGAGGTAGACATGCCCCAAATCACTGATGAGTTTGAGGCTCATCAGTTACCCTCAATTTGGTATAGCCCGTCCTCTGAGAAAGTTTACCAGAGTTCAGCCACTGTGCATGCTATAACTTCTTGGAGCCCCAGGTGAGAGTGAGGTGAGAAATGAATACCAAATGTGAATGAGCAGCCCTGAGAATATCTCAGCAGGCCCTCACATCAAAGGTGTTAGTCTTCCTTGAGTACCACATACACCCCAACTAGTCACCATAGACAATGGAGTTAAGAAGCTACAACTGGATTAAGAGAAGGAAGGGTTCTTTGATTTCTCTCTCCCTACTTCCATGTTGTTGCTACGTCCTCAGTTTCTTTACACCATGCCTGAACTTCACTTCCTCCTTCAGTTTGTAATAAAACATCTCCCTTTTCCTGATCACCCTCACAAGACAGGGTCATGTAATCTCCCCAGAAAAGAACAAGGCACTTCCAGAAGGCCAGGTTACATTCCAATTGACTATAAACTGCTCTAGGGCAAGGACTATTGATTGTGTCTTTAGGTAAACAAATGTCAGACCCAGACCTCTAGATTCAAACTTGAGGGTCTCTCAACAATAATAGTAATCTTGGTGGCTTGTGCCCTTATTCAGAATCTGGGAACATCAGAATTGGGTTTATGTTTCTCAAAGTCTCTTCAACTACCTTGAAACCCCTTGGGTTCACAAAAATATTAAACATAGAACAGCTTTGTTTAACACAAAAAGAACCCATATCTGAATTCTTGACTAAGCAATAGAGAGTTCCTGCTGGTAAGCTCCAGAGGTTTGATTCCCAGTCCCCACAAACCCATATCACTTAGTGAAAGTACCTGCCTTTTAAATGGAATCACAGGTCTGATAGCCCTTGTAGCATCTGTGATATGGGTAGATGTCCAATGCTACATCTCCCCACTCACCTCCTTCCCTACACAACTCCATTGGCCTGCAGTGGTCCCTTCATTCCAGTCCATACCCAACTTTACTTCTGCCTTCTCTCAGCATCTCTCTCCATTCTAGGCACCTTGTGTCTCCCACACACACGCACACACAAAAAACAAGCCCTTCTGCTTCACAGCTCCAAGTTTCTCTTCCCCCCCTTAAGGTCACTCACCTGGAAGCTTCATTCTCCTCTTGTCCATATGCCCTGTGAATTGCAGGGAAAGGAAGGGGAAGGAGAAGTTGCCTCAACTCTTATCAGCCCTTGCCTACTGCATTTGTATCAGCAGAAAAACAATGTGTTAAACATAATAAACATTTAACGGATGTTTCTTAAATGGAATTTAACCAAATCGAATTGAATATGTTAGAATTTTTCAATGGTGAGACCTTTCACCCCTTTCCCTAGGAAATTAAGTCAAGTATCACAGGCAACTAAACAAATTGACTCGGATGACGGAGATAACTGATGATGAAGTTTTCAAGATGAGGGAAACAGAATTTGGAGATGACTGGTCAGCAAGTCATTAAATAATTCTAATTAAGGGACCTAATGGACATGCGTACTTACTAGCTTCCTTTAAAAAAGCCTCAGTCCTTTCCTGCTAGCAATTTTCAGTCTAAGGCAAACATAATCAACACAGAGTAACAGATACAAGGGTTTTCATCTCATGCAGAAGGAAGAGGGGAAAATCCTTTAGGTTTTCTTATTTGCCTTCCTCTTAAGTCCAAACTGCTTCTCCCCATTCCAAAAGGCCTAAATTTTCACGAGTTTCATCTTTTATCTGCAATAAGTGAGATACCTCAAAGGGAGACTCTATTTGTTATTAGGAACAAGGTTCCAATAGACTCAAGCTTTTTAGTAATGTTACAGTTTTGGTGTTAGCTTTTATCACCCTCTAAGAATTGCCATGGAGCAGCTAGGTGGTGCAGTGGATAGAGTGCCAACCTGGAGTCAGGGAGACTCCTCTTCCTGAGTTCAAATCTGGCCTTAGACACATACTAGCTATGTGAACCTGGGCAAGCCACTTCACCCTGTTTCCCTCAGTTTCCTCATCTGTAGAATGAGCTAGAGAAGGAAAAAAGAAAACCACTACAGTATCTTTGCCAAGAAAATCCAAAAAAAGGAGCCATGAAGAGTCAGACACAACTTAAAAAAAAAAACAACTAAACAACTATCCAACTAAACAACAACAAAAAGAATTGTCACAGAAGAGGTAAATGTTTCCCTCAAGACACCATGATCCCAAGCTTCTCTCCTCCCTCACCTGGAAGCTTCATTTTCCCCTTGTACATATGCTTTGTGGATTTTGGGAAGAAGGGGATGTTCCTTGGCACTTTAATAAGTATCATAGGATCATAAGATCTAGGTCTGGAAGGCATCTTTCAAGTCCAATCCCTTCATTTTACAGATCATAAAACCGAGGCCCAAAGCAATTAAATGATTTGCCTGGGATCCCCTAGCTAGAGTCTAAGGTGGAATTCAAACTTAGGTCTTTCTGACTACAAGCATTCTATTCACTATATCACACTGGCTCTTTAAGATCTATTCTCTGACAGTAGATGCAACATTCTATACCCATAGTCCTCAACCTTTTCAAGGAAAAGAAGGAAATTAGGCTTTAGTTTCAGCTTCTAGTGGGCCACTCCTTAATTATTAATAGGCACACTTGCTAGCTGTATGTATAATACTTTAAATTTTGCAGATTACAGTAGGACAGAAAACTTAGAGCTGGTAAGACCCTTAAAACTCAAAAGTTATATCATCCAACCCCCTCCATTTTCAAAGGAAGACTCTGAAGCCCAAACAGGCAAAGTCACATGGTCAAGGTCACATAGGAAGTAAACAGCTCAGGTAGGATTCACACCAAGGTTTTACAACTCTAGATACAGTATAGTTTTCATTACCCCATACAATTTTGCTGATGACATCAGAGTGTCTCTTGCCAGCCTTTTCCCAACTCTCAAGTAAATCAGTGATAAAATAGAGGAGAAGGGAATGCCCTCTTCTTCTCTTGTTTTCCCATTAATTAAACAGATATCAGAGTTAATTTGAACATGAAAACCATACCCTTAGACAAGTAATATTTAAAGGAATAGGTAGATATTATTCTAGCCCATCACTCCTTCCTTCTGAGGAGAGCAAAGTGTTGGTCTCTGACCCTAATTTCGTGCTTCCCTTCCTGGAAGGAATTAAAGTCCCCCTTGGAGAAGGATGAGGGGAGAAGAGGTTAGAGATGTCTACTCTGCCTCCCTTCAAGCCACACAATGACAATCCCATAGCCCTCACTACAAACATGTGTATATATGATCTCATTTAATCATCACAACAACCTTGTGAGGTAGGTACTATCCACAGTATTCTCTCATCCAGGTTAAAATCCTCTCTTCATCCAACCCATCCTAATATGACATAATTTTAAGCCCCTCCACTATGTTGTTTGCCCTCCCGTGTATGTTTGTGAAAGACACTCCAGCTTCATGACTCATGAATTCCTTATCTATAAAACATAAGGATTATACTCAGGGACCTCTAAGGCACCTCCCAGCCCAAATCTATGGTCAGATGCCCTGGAATGCAAATACTCTTCCAAAATTATGGTCTCACAACTGATCCAGCCTTCTAAATGTAAGCTTAACAACAGGACCATCACTTCCTTTGTTCTAAACATGCTTCTCTCGTGTACTCTGAGACATTTTGAAGCAGCTACTATTCACATTGTCAACATCAAAAATAACTAGAAGAGTTCTATGTCTCTGATTATGCAGGGCAATATCTGTATAGGCAAAGCAAATATCTCACTTTTGTGGTAAATTCAAGGGATATCAAGAAGTCTCCAATTTACAACCCTAAATCCCCCTCCCCCAAAAAAATCCCTTCCCTATCACCTGCTTATGGCTGTCTGTAGTTCTGCTGTTAGTGAGTCATAGCAGAGGCTGGATGTACTTCATTGGGCAGTGGACTGATTTCTTAAATTCTCTTTCAGCTTCAAGACTCTATTATACTAACCCTGAAGAAGACAGATCTTAGAAAATATAGTGTGGTGTTAGCAGAGAGTATACTGGTAAATGTTTAACAAGAGGCTCTCAAAAAAATACTGTGTGTTCAATACTTTTAATCTGCATTATCAACATTTTCTTAACTCAAGACACTCAATATAGCCATTTGTGAGGGAGAAATATTCACATTGAAAATTTAGCCATCAGCTCTCAGAGTCTGGCTGTAGTACACCCCTGGGTGTAAGGGAAAGCAGTGGATTTGTTCATGGGAAACATAGGTTTGAATCTGACTCTGTGCCTTACTACCCGTGAGAAATTGGACAAGTCACTTAACCTCTATGGGCTTAACTTCCTGCTCTGTAAAAAGAGGGTTATAATTAAATGACCTCCAAGCCTATGAAGTGTCTCCACCAAATTGGAAGGTTTAGCACTAGCTGCTTCCCTTTTCAACCAAGGGCAGATCAAACGAGTGTTTCTAAAGGTAGCGGAAGGCATTCTGAGAGCCTCAGATGAGGTGAGCAATTTCCTTTCTTTATGGGTGCTAGAGAACCAAGCAATCAATCAACAAACCTACTATGAGCAAGAGAGAGGGGGAGGTAATAAAAACTAATAATAATAAAATAGTTAGCATTTACATAGTAAGCGCTTTAAAGTTTAAATGGCACTTTACATCTTATTTGATCTAATTCCTCCCCTCAAGGAGCTTGTATTCTCTAGGGGGAAATCACATGTAC